TTCGTCTGCTTGACCGTTAAGAAGTAACGGTCAACGGTTAAGAAGTAACGGTCAAAATATTCTAAAACCCCCTAAAAATTTATCCAAACATAATTTAACCCCAATTTCATTAATTAACCAATTTTAACCAATGACCCCGATTTTTCAAAATCGTGTAATCCGACGTTGAATTTCTTTTTTATAACTCGGTTGACTCTTTTTTCGATTGATCTTTTTTTGCCGTTGTTGACCGATGTTGAATGTCGGGTTAACAACGTTGACATTTTTTTTCTCTTGATTTTTATTTAAATTGTTGAGTAGTGGAAAAAATATAATTTTAAAAAAAAAATCAAAGATGATAATTGGCGAGAAAAATAATATCATAAAAGAAGTCAATATAAAAGAAAAAGGGAAAAAAAATCAACGCAACTCAATGACGGAAAAAAATTAAGGCAAAAAAAAGATAAAAATTAAAGGCCGGTGTTAGCCCCAAAAACAGTTGTACTAGAGTGGTTATCTCATTTCCAAATTACTCCGCACATGCCTCATTCATCTTATTCATATTTTTTTGGGAAGAAATTTGGGATGCACTTGTGGTTCCACGAAAAAAGAATGAGGGGAAGAAATTATGGATTTTAGAATTTTTTAAAAATGTATTTAGGCCCCACAATTTTAGATAAATTTTTTGTTAGAAGTTTGTAATTTTAATATTACGATACTAAATATTAATATAGTATTATTATTGTGTTACACAGTAATAATATTGTGTTGATCAGAAGAAAAAAAGTCACAGGAAAAAAGTAAAAAAAAAAATCAAGAAAAATAAAAAAGTCAACATTGTTAACCGAGAATACAATGTCGGTGAACGGCGTCAAAAACAGTATCAATAGAAAAAAGTCAATGCCGAAACAAAAAGTTAAAAAAAAAATCAACGGCGGTCAACGGTAATGGTGGTAAAAATCGGGCTCGCTTGTCAAAATTGATTAAATGATGAAATTAGGGTTAAATAAGGGTTGAATAATATTTTAGGGGTTTGTAGAATATTTTAAAAGAATGCAGGGGTCTGAATGCAATTTTCTCAATGAAAAATCCCAAATTCAGCCATAATTCTACAGTTGACCGTTACTTCTTAACGGTCAAATAGACAGAGGGACTAAATGTGCTAAAATGTGACAATATTAGTGTGTATTTTGTTGACAGCGGTAAATGAGGGACCAAAAGTAAAAAACATGCAAATTGGGGGACCAAAACTGTAATTATTCCCTTTAATGTTCTTATTTTCTTTATCTCGTTAGTTGTTTACCATAAATTCACAATTATCGTAATCTTAATTATTTGATTTAAATATTCCACGTGCCAAAATATGATTGGAGTCCGATAATTGCAAATAATCGGCCAATCCGACCAGAATTTTATCTCTAGACGAAAAGTCAATATCAATCATTAACTCTCTCTCCACAAAAATAGACGAAAAGTCAATATCAAACCAAACTAACAAAAAATGCCAAATTTGGGTTTGAACCCCGGACGGCTCGAGGGTTGGCAGAGTACAAACCACTAAGGCAAAGTTAGGGGTGAGCAAAAAAACCGAGAAACCGAAAAACCGAACCGAAAACCGAAAAAACCGAGCCGATTTAAAACCGCATATACGGTAAATTTTTTTTGAAAAACCGAAAACATCGGTTTGTGTATGGAGAATAAAAAAATTATCGAACCGATTTCCCGAACCGAACCGATTTATACAAAATGATGTTTTTTTATATATAGTATAGATACGTACCCTAGCGTGCCTCTATCTTTCAAGCGTCTCCATATGACATGTTTTTCTATTAATTAATTTTGGTTGTGACGTGTTTATTATTAGTTAATTTTCGGTTGTTATTTGTTAATTTTCTCAAATAAATATAATGAAAGTCCAAATATATCGGTTTTATGCCGAACCGATTCGAACAAATAGACGAAATCGAAACCGAAAATAAACCGAATTGATACCGAACCGTTAACCGAAAAACCGATTAATACCGAACCGAAAAAAACCGACATATTCGGTTTTAAAAATATGAAAAACCGATATTATCGGTACGTGTTTGGTTTATTGGAAAACCCGAGCCGTACCGACCCGTGCACACCCCTAGGCAAAGTTACTTATTACAATATTAATCCTAACTATCCAATATATATATAAATAACAATGCAAAATGATTATAATAATTTGTATAACTAATGTTTAATAAATTATTAATTGTCATATTCCTTATTATTAATATTAAAAATATCCACTAATAACAAATGCATATATATTTAATTTTAAAAGAGTATAAAAAATTATGATTTAATTTAAAAGAAAGATTGAATTTTGATTTTTTTTTTAATTTTGAAATTTTGATTTTCAGTTATTATTTTCACTTATAAATACCCATAATTCAATCTTCACAATTTTCATTTTATTTATTTTATGTCTCAAGGTCTTAATCGTTTCATTTTTTTCTAAAATTGTTTAGTGTTTAAATTCAAATTATTTTTCTTTTTTGTAATTTTGAATTTGAAGTTAATATCATTTTTTTTCAAGTTTCAATTTAAGTTTTTTTTTCTTTCTTGTAATTATTTGGGAAAAAAAATTTGGAAAACCGGTTTGGCCCCGGAGCCAGACCCACCTCCCCACAGATCATTTTCGGGTCCCCTAAAAGTCAGACCTGGATCCGGCGGGTCCGACCCAAACTCGACCCGCCTCGTGGCCGTGTCTAGCCACCACCTCCGATAGCACAACCACAAAGCCACATCCGACCGGCCCTAAGCTTCATCATTTTGACGACAATCTGAATTGGATATATCTCTTTGATATAGATATGAGGTTCTACTCTTTAACCCGATAGGGAGATAAATTCAAATTCTTCAAGTTCTACTCATAATTTCCTAACATGCGTAAGTTCATGTGTAACTTTCATTTATTAAAAAATCAGATCTTTTCCTTTTGGGGTGATAAAATAGCATATTTTGCGAAAACCGCGGTTTCACCAACCGGCCGATTTTTCCGGTTATGGGCATTTGACCTCGGTTTTTAATGATGAACCGAACCGGATAGACGCCAGTTCTCGGTTGAACCGGATCAACCGACCGGTCCGATTCTAATAACATTGCATATTACAGGTAAATTTATTTTGATGTGCACAATAAATCCATATGTTACAAAAATTAGCAAATGGGACGAATATGGATGGTAGACATGGCCACGGGCCGGTTCGGACCGGTTCCGGGCCGGTTCAAACCGGTTCATGGTTCACATTTTCCGGAATCGGAACCGGCCCGTAGTATGGGCGGTTCAGCGGGCCGGGTCGGCCCGCCGGTTCGGGCCGGTTCCGGGTCGGCCCGGAAATTTTGATTTTTTTTTTTTTTGAAATATTTTATGAATAAGTAAAATGAAATGCTATTTGCGGTCACAAAATTGCTATTCGCGGTTTATAACAAAACCCCCCACAACTTTTAAAAATATACAAAAACCCCCCAAAACTGCAAATAGCAAAAAAAAAAAAAAAAAAGAACAAATTCGACAATTCGAAATCGAGCTTGAAGAAGGGTTGGGCTTCGGTTTTTTGATGTAATTTCGACCCTTTTACGTGTAATATGCATTGGGTAGGTCGATTACGGAACCAATTTCATGTTAAAAAGCCCTACAAATCGATTTGTAGGGCTTTTTTTTTTGCAAAAAAATGTTCGAACGCCCAAGATGGGCGCCCAAAGCGTGTACCCGTTCCGGGCGTTCGTACACGCCTTGGGCGCCCATCTTGGGTGTTCGGACATTTAAAAAAAAAAAAAAAAAATTTTTGCACTGGACGCCCAACTCGGGCGCCCAAATGCAGCTTGCACGCCCAACTTGGGCGTGCACTGCATGAATGGGCGCCCAAGTTGGGCTTTTACGCGTTTTGGGGGGGGGGGGGGGGGGGGGGGGGGGGTTAAATTTTTTTTGAAAATTTTGGGGTTTTATGGAAACAAAAGGTTTTTTGGGGGGTTTTTTTTTAAAACCCCAAAAAAAATTTTTTAAACGGGAAAAAAAATTTCCCCAAAAAAAATTAAAAAAAATCTTTTTTATTTAAAAAAAAAAAAGGAAAAGGGAAAAAAGGAAAAAACTTGACCTTTTTTTTAAATTCAAAATTTTAAAAATGGGGGGGAAAAAACTTGAACTTTTTTTTAAAAATGGGGGGGGGGGGGGTTTTTTAGAAAAAATTGGGGGGGGGGGGGGGAATTTAAAAAAAAAAAAAAAAAGGGGGGGGTAGTGTAATCAAGTGTTTTTTGGGGGGTTTTTGTTATAAACCGCGAATAGCAATTTTCAAACGGCAAAAAACAATTCCCATAAGTAAATTAAAAGAAGTTCTTTTAAATGGAAAAAAGAAAAGGAAAAGGAAATAAATGAAAAGGCTTGAACTTAATTTTAAATTCAAAATTTTAAAGATTGGGGGGAAAAGACTTGAACTTAATTTTAAAGATTGGAGTGTGAGGGTATTTATAGGAAAAATTGGTTGGGGGGGGGGGAATTCAAAAAAAAAAAAAATAACGGCCGGTTCAGGCCGGTTCACTAGCCGTTATTTGCTTTTTTTTTTGAATTTTTTTGATTTTTTTTTTAAATCCGGGTGAACCGCCGGGCCGAGTTTACCATTTCTCAGAACCGGGCCCGTCCCGGGTAGGACGGGCCGGTTCGGACCGTCAACGGGCCCAAAACCGGCCCGTGGCAGTGTCTATTGGATGGCAGAAGGACGGATACCCTCAAAAATAGATTATACAAGAATCATTAATATTTAATATAATTCAAACCGGAACCATGTCTACCCATTTAAAAAGTTTAATAATTATATTCGTGTTTTTTTTTTTTGAGTAAATATTATATTCGTGTTAAAACATGCAATTTGGGCCTAAATAAAATTTTAATCAATATTGAGTTTGTCAGGACTCGGATTTATTTTGCATTCGGGCTTTATGTTTTGACCCGGCCCAGGACCCGACTAGTGCGGGTAATGAACAGTGAGGGAACCCCATTCTCTTCTCTCCGTGATACACTACTGTTTGAAAACTCACAAAAATGGCGGCAAGTTAACTATTAATCTAGTGCAGAATCACACTACCCAGAACCTCTTTTTCACCTAATTAACTATTTAATTCCGCGTACCTAAGTTAGTTAGGGCTTTGATTCGTAATACAGACTGAAAACCTTCCTCGGGAAAATGGCGACTACGGAGGGTTCATTAACCTCGCCGATCTGCAATTTGGCGATTTTGGACTCGCTGAGTGCAAATTCAACTGGACAAATGGCGGACAGCTGGAACGCTTTCTGCGTAGCAACAGAATCAGTAATCGGAGGCGGTGGAGGTGATTTATTGTTAGCTCCTGATTTCGTGTCGCATTTGCGTAATCTATGCAATCTCGGGCTGAAATCGCTAATTGTGGAGCACTTCCTTTGCTCGTTGGAGGTACTGTTTCTACTTTCCTTTGCTCATTGAATTGTAAATTTTGAGTTTATCTCTTCAATCGCCCAATTTTTTTTAATTTTTTATTTTTTGGTGCAGTTTATGTTATATTTTGTTTTTATATTGTGAGATCTTTTATTTGTTTGCGCAGCATTGCGTCATGTGTTTATCTTAATTTTATTTTGTGAACTTCCGAGTGCAATTGAACTTTTATTCGAGATTTGTGGCTATCTATACTTGCTTTTTTTTAGGACTGATTGTTACAATATATTTGAATTAGGGTTACATTATCTTTCTATAGTCAGAAAATACTTGAATTATGTGTTGCTGCAGGAAATATTTGAGAAGCGCGGGGCATCCAGGTTTTGGAAGCATTTTGATGCCTACAGTAATTCTTCGGTTCTACATATGGAAGACCTGGTATGTATGTACACATGTGATGTATTAGGTTTTGCTTTTCTGCTTGCTAGATGCATATTAGATTATCCAATTAATCTAGAAGATTAAGACTATGTACAGTTGGTATTAGAACCTTGTCGGCGCTTGCCTGAAGTTGAGATGCTTTAAATTTTTTTCTAATCCTCAGTTTTTGAGTCGAGCATTTTTTACATGTTCCTTTATTATTTCTAACAAAAATTCATCGCATATTTCAGTTTGGTTTTTATTTGGGAATATGCCCAGTTAGCAGCGTGATGTTGATTGTAATTTATATGATATCGTTAAAGTCAAAGGCCAGTTTCTTTTTTAGCTGCTAGAATTGGTAAACGTATATCGACATAAAGACTTGTCAAACCGAAATATGGTATTGTTTTGATATGATGACTAATGGAAATTCCTCAGGTTATGATGCAACATGGGAAATTTGTTCAGAGGAATTTTGCTGATTGTTTCACTGTCATAAGAAGAATATCCCTTTAAGAAAATAGTTTCCCTTAAAATACTGAAAAATGCTTTTTGCGGAAGAAGATGCATTTTTGTGAAAATAGTAAATTGTTCTTGGATGTGTTTTGAGAGTTGTCCTCCATTTATTTCGTCAAGTTTGGCAAACTGATTTCGAGATGATTGAAAAATTGTTCTCCTGGTAAAGCCGTTAGTAATTGTAGCTTTTAAGATATTGCGGATATCAATAGACAAAAATATATTTTGCACTTGGTTTGAGGAAGGTTTAGATTCTGCCGATGGGTATGACTGCTTTATCAGTGCCTCCATGAAAATTTTGAAACAGGATGAACAAGATGGGATGCAAGATCTATTACATAAAGCATTGGAAGAGATATCATCTGAAAAACAATACCAGGAGAAGTGCCTGTTAAAGTTGGTCCAGGCTTTAGAGATGTGCAGACAAAGTAAGCCAAACGGACCAACATATTCAGATGAGCGAAACTATCTACTCTCAAAATATCAGCTAACAGTATCGTCAGTTCTCATGGTCAGTCTACCTCGACATTTTCCAGGTACTTTTTTCCTTACACATGTAACTTACGAGCTCGTAGTAATAGATATCAGGTGAGGTCCACTAAATACTATGATGTGTATGGCCAGCAAATTGTCGTGTGACTCATATTACTAGATCAATGCAACACAAGGGTTCCATTGCTTTCTTCAGGCAATTCTGGGATTTGAAAGTGGAGGGATTGATCATCGTAGTGTAAAACATCCTGTCCTTATGATAGATGAAATTATTGATTACTTCAGTGGAATTAATTTCATATGATGCGTAATAGACGGTATCATATCTGCAGAAATTTATGGATAATGTTATAATCAATCAGTTTCCACTTTCCAGGCATCCTTTTTGGTCTTGATACATTATTTGGTCATATTGGTTCCCATTGCCACTCTTTTCAATTGCACATTGCTTCATATTTCATGACATTCTTACAACTCTTAACATTTATTAACATCTTAACCATTGTTATTTCTGTTACATAAAATGCTTAGATATACTTCGCTGGTACTTTAGGAGACGACTGGAGGAGTTAAGTGCAATGATGGCTGTAGGCTGTGAGTATGATAACAAGCTACACATAGATGATGGAATGGACCTGGACTGCAAAACAGGGGAAATGGATGCTGATGAAATTCATCAAGATAGAACCATTTTAGGAAACAACAATTTAGTAAGGAACATTGGAGAGATCGTCCGTGATCTTAGGAATCTTGGATTTACCTCAATGGCTGAAGATGCCTATGCATCTGCCATATTTCTACTATTGAAGGTTGTATATGTTGAATACTGCTAATCAGCAATATCATCTTCCCTGTTCTAATAGTTTGAATCTTTTCAAAGAAGCGATATTAATTTCTTCTGATCTTGTCACATATGATGTACTTTTCTTACCAACATAGTATTTTAAACTTTTAAATGATAATACCATCGCAAATTTAAGCTACTAATTTCCTTTTTTTTTGTGCTTTTCTATATATGTAGTTATAATTTATTTTCTTAATTTTGTTGTCTTGACAGTCTAAAGTACATGAGCTGGCTGGTGATGAGTTCAGATTTTCAGTATTGGAGTCCATCAAAGGATGGATACAGGTAATTCATGTCGAATCCATATAGCTTCAGTTCTCATAGTCCCCTTAGAATCAAGGACCATAGTGACAATTCCTTTCATTTTTTTGTGCCATTAAATTTTCACTACAATCCTGTGAGTCCAAGTTTCTGCAATATGTTGTGAGGTGATAAAGGATATAATAATCACGGTCTGATCTATAGCGTCTAAAACAGGGAGTTCTATTTTGCAGGCTGTGCCACTTCAGTTCTTACATGCCCTTCTTGCTTACTTGGGTGATTCTAGAAGTCATGAAGGCCTTTCCTCTGGTCTGAAATCCCCATTGGCATCTCATCCGTCTTTTAAATACTACGGAACTGGAGTTCCTTCAGAGGGACTTGTTCGATGGCAGTTGCGCTTAGAGTATTTTGCTTATGAAACATTACAAGATTTAAGAATAGCCAAGCTTTTCGAAATTATTGTGGATTATCCGGACAGGTAAGTATGTCTCTTTAGCACATCAAGTCGGATTAATGAGATACTAAAAAAGCGTAATAGAAAATGGATTCAGCCTTTTAAATGGTTGTACCATAATTGTCCTGGATACTGTTTTTAGTTCTGTGGATTGTGTATGTGGGAAAGATAACTGTTTTATTGTCTCCTTAATATTTCAGTTCCCCTGCTATTGAAGACTTGAAACAATGTCTTGAATATACCGGGCAGCACTCAAAGCTTGTCGATTCTTTCATAGCTGCTTTAAAGTATCGCTTACTGACAGCTGGTGCCTCTACCAATGATATACTGCACCAATATGTTTCAACTATTAAAGCCCTTCGAACAATAGATCCAGCTGGCGTTTTCCTTGAAGCAGTTGGTGAACCAATCAGAGAATATTTGAGGGGAAGGAAGGACACCATTAAATCCATTGTAACTATGCTCACTGATGGTGCTGGTGGGAATCCTAGTGGACCTGGAAGTACCGGGGACAGTCTTCTTGAAGAATTAAATAGAGATGAAGAAAATCAAGAGAGTTCTAGCTATGACGACGATGTCAACACCGATGACAAGCAAGCATGGATTAATGCTCAAAGGTTGGTTACCGAAATTTAAAAAGAACATTTAGAAAGATCTATTTTGTATATAAACCTTTATAAAGATCAAATGAATACTTTATTAGGTCCGGGGATTAAAAATATATTATATGCACTGTTGCTTCCAAAATTTGAACTGTTGACGAACTATTATATATACGCCCTTTTTAGCTGGGAGCCTGATCCAGTGGAGGCGGATCCCTTAAAAGGCGGCAGGTATCGGAGGAAGGTTGACATTCTTGGTATGATAGTTGGCATAATTGGTTCAAAGGATCAGCTGGTGAATGAGTATCGTGTTATGCTGGCTGAAAAGCTTCTGAATAAATCTGACTATGACATTGACTCGGAGATACGCACTTTGGAACTTCTGAAGGTAGTTCATGACGATAGTTATTTTTCTGCAATTTGGCCTCTTTAAATCTACTGCCATGTTTACCTAATATACATGTATTCTTCTGGTGTTGTCTGCAGATACATTTTGGTGAGGGTAGCATGCAGAAGTGTGAAATAATGCTCAATGATCTAATTGATTCCAAAAGGACTAACACAAATGTTAAAGCAACCATCAAACAACAACCTCAGCCAGGTCTATTCGCGAGTATATATTTTTTATTTTCTGGATATGGGGTATCGTAAATTCTTCTACATGCAGATCATTTGCCAGATTAGTTTATGAATTAATGCTATATACTTACAACGTCTGGGTGATTGGTGTTTGCAAATAAAATGCAGCTTCTGACGTAGGAGAGCATGAGTTGTCTCTAGATAATCTTAATGCTACAATTATATCGTCAAATTTCTGGCCACCTATCCAGGTATGCATATCACGTAACCTTTTATTGCGTAACTTCATTGGCTCACAATTCCTGCAGCTTCTGTGAAGATAAAATGACATTAATTTCATAATTGGTGGTTTAAGTTATTTAGAAGGGTTTTCTTCCCCGATTTGAGTTTGAATGTCTATCTAATTTACTTTGGGGCAAAAAACAAGTCTTGGAATTTTAATATGTAGGCACGTATTCTGTTTGTTTGAAGTTCACTGGAGAATAACTTTTAACCGGGTGAATTATGTTTCTGATTTCAGGATGAGGCACTTAATATACCTGGACGGATGGAAAAGATTTTAAGTGACTATGCCAAAAGGTTTAATGAAATCAAGACACCGCGTAAGCTCCTCTGGAAGAAAAATCTTGGTACTGTAAAGGTTAGTTACGTCCAAACAAAATAGATGTAGCTTTGGCTCTGAAATAGAATAATGTAGGTGGACTTTCGAAGCCACTAGACCTTTTATATGTAGAACTTTGAAGTGCTTTTATCTCTAAAATCTATGTACCTAGAAACATTACGTACTATGTGTTGATATTATACTATCTATGTGGAATATTCATTGGCATCTTTCTCTCATCGTTCTGTTGTATTACCTTGTTCAAGCAACATTACGTACCATGTGTTGCCATTTTACGCAGTTGGAGCTGCAATTTGAAGACAGAGTGTTGCCGTTCACTGTAACACCCCTTCACGCCTCCATCATCAGTCAATTTGAGGATCAGACAAGGTAAACTCGGGACTGGTATTTATCAAATTTATTCTTCATCTTTGTTGTAGAGATGCAATTGCTACTCTATGATAATAAGTTTGATGCTTTTGTGCTTTCAGTTGGACATCCAAGAGTCTTGCTGCTGCTGTCGGCGTACCTGTGGAAATCTTGAATAGAAGAATATATTTCTGGATAAACAAGGTTGCCTATCTTACGAGAATCTCTTAGGTTGCATTTAGATCGGAGGATTTGAGGGGAGGATTTCAAACACATAATATGAAATCCACTGAGCTTCTTTGGATATTTGACTGTGAATTTCAAACTCCTCAACTCTCATTTTACGAGTCATGGTCAAATCCATATCATTTGGAGTCATTTGAAATCGTTTACCGAATCCAAATCTTTCGATCCAAATGCAGTCTCAGGCCTTTAAATTTTGATCCGTGTAACGCCTGATTTTAGTGTATTCGGTAATGTACTAGAGCATTTCGACCACCTAATTAATTCTTACTATTAATTTAGGGAATCCTAGCAGAATCAGTAGAGGAGTCCGGTGACAATAAGTTCAGTTTGGTGGAAGCCATGGTTGAGAACGGAAAGAATGGAGTTAACAGTGGCGGCTGTGACGAGCTTCTAGCGGGTGACGATGATGGAGAAAGATCAATAGCATCTGTTGAAGATCAACTGCTTAAAGAAATGACTGTCTACGAGGTATATATGGTTCTAAAATTATATCAAAATTCAGATATTACGATTTTCAGATTAATATTTTCCCATCTACCTTTTTTTTTTAATTAAAAAAATAAAATAAAGATAGGATAGACAATATTGCTGACCATATTTCTCTGTCGAAAAATCCTCTCTGCAGAAATTTATCACAGGGATGCTTACCAATTTTGGCAGCATGGCACTGGACCGGATTCACAATACTCTCAAGGTAATCCCGAGTTTGCGTAAATGCATAGGATTCTTACAAAGATATTACGGAGTATTTAATCGAACGGCAAAAATGTTTGTGACAGATGTTTTGCAGAGGAGATCCTGCTTATGACAAATCACTCCAACAGTTGCAGAGCTTTTTGGCTGGTCTAGTTGCAGAAGAGAAACTTGAACTTAAAGATGGAATGTATTTGTTAAAGAAGTAATAGCCCCACCATATATCTTTTTATTTATTGGAAATCGAAGAGAAGCGCAGGTTTATATGGTTGGCAACGAGGGCTCTAAGTTATCGAGACTCTTTAATATTCGATCCGGTGTAATTTTAATCTGAGTTTTTAAGTAAGCTTGTTGTATCAATGGTAAAACTATGCAAGTTATATGTTAATCGGATCTTCAAAAAAAATCAGCACTTGCCATTTCTGAAACCGTTAATATACTGTTAAAGTTGTGGGCCCAAATATGAATGTTGGGGTTGGGCCCGGAGATAATTCTGGACGGTCCAATTTCTGAAAATGCGTAGGCCAACTAAATTCCAGCCAATAGTCAACATTTTTTATCTCAACCGTCCATATTACTTCGTTTAATCATGGACGCCGACTCGCTCAGACTAAACTCTCCCCTCTCAACTCTACTCTTAGCTTTGAATGCGTATCTTCTCTCTCTCCTCCTTTCTCCCCCTCACCAGCTTGGCTTTCTTCGGCAACTATTTAAAGAGGGACACAAGTAACACTTATTTATACGCATCTCTAAGTTTTCTTCTTTCGATCTATTTCTTCTATGAGTGATTGACTCTATATGTGTCGGCAAGTCAACTCAGTGTGAGCATTGAGGTAAAACTAGGGTTTTAGGGGGCTTGGTGCTGATTTCCGATTGGAGTCGTCACCTTCTTGAATTTCTGGATTGAACACTTAATAAAAGAGTACAGAGCCGTTATGGAAACTATAACAGCTCCATGTATTGGAACTATATATGTTTGTGCATCTCTTTCTCTCTATTTTGAATGCCTCCGTGACATTATTAAGATTTAACAGTTAAAATAGTAAATCTAAAAACTGGTTGAACATTGCACACACAAAATATGAAAATAGTAAAATAGTGGTAAAAACTCAAAAGTTGAAAGTGAAAAAGTGAACCCCCAAATATTCGCCGTTGGAGGAAATACTAATAAATTAATAAACGTTACACCATGTGGTGGCCAGAATTTAAAAAAGGTTAGTTACTACATTGCAATTCGACCGTTACGTTTTCCTTCACATTTCAAATCTTTTTCACATCTCCTGATTATTATTAATTATCAACCAGTGAAAACAAAAAAAAAAGAAAAAAAAGAATTCATCATCGAGCAACAAAAACAATATGAGAGAAACAGAACCACAGCAAGATGAAGAAATGGAAAATCTGAGATCCAAAGCCACAGAACTTCTCCTAAGAGAAGAATACAAACCCTCAATCCAAGCCTACACCCAAATCATCTCCCTCTGCCAAACCCGCATCGCCGCCAAAAACCCAGATGGGCCCCACCTCAACAAGCTCCTCTGCCTCTCCTTCTCCAACCGGGCCGAAGCCCGGGCCCGCCTGTCGGACCACACCTTAGCACTGACAGACTGCGAGGAGGCCTTAAGAATCGACGATTCCCATTTCAAAACCCTCGTTTGCAAGGGTAAGATTCTGCTGAGTCTGAACAGGTACGGCGCCGCCCTGTGCTGCTTCAACGCCGCCAATCTCGGCCCGCAGGCGAGCGAGAATTCCGATCTGGTAAATGGGTTCTTGGAAAAATGCAAGAGGCTCGAGTTTCTATCGAGAACCGGCGCGTTTGATATTTCCGAGTGGGTGCTGAGTGGGTTTCGTGGGAAATCGCCCGAATTAGCAGAGTACATCGGCGCATTGGATATCAAGAAATCGGAAATCAGTGGTCGCGGCCTGTTTGCGACGAAGAATGTCGAAAGCGGGACTCTGCTTTTCGTCACTAAAGCCGTCGCAGTTGATCGGGCTATAATGCCGCAGGATTCCGGCGAGAACGCCCACTTGGTTATATGGAAGAACTTTGTCGATAAAGTGTCGGACGCCGCCGGGAAATGCAGCGGCCTCACCAATTTGATATGGAATCTATCTTCCGGTGAAGAAGACGAGGAGAACACGATGGAAGTTCCTAGAATCGGAATCTTTAGGCCCGAGGAATTCGATACCGATTCTTGTAAGAAGAAGAAGAAGGTACTAGATATGGGTAGATTGTTGAGTATCTTGGATGCGAATTCTTTTCTCGAGGATTCGATTTCGGCAAAAGTATTGGGTAAAAACGCGGATTACCAAGGTGTAGGGTTGTGGGTTCTGGCTTCATTGATCAACCATTCTTGCGAACCGAACGTGAGGCGGTTGCACGTGGGGGACCACGTGGTGGTCCACGCGTCTCGAGATTTGAGGGCGGGGGAGGAGTTGACTTTCGCGTATTTCGACGTGCTTTCGCCGTTGAGTAAAAGGAGGGAAATGGCGAGGAGTTGGGGGTTTGTTTGCGGGTGCAAGAGGTGCAAATTCGAAGAGAATTTGGGGTGTAAGCACGAGACGAGAGAGATGGAGATCTTGATGATGGGGGGGAAAGGCGGGGTCGATATGGGGGGAGTGGTGTATAGATTGGAGGAAGGGATGAGGAGGTGGGGGGTGAGGGGGAGGGGGAAGGGGTATTTGAGGGGGTCGTTTTGGGAGGCGTATTCGAAGGTTTTCGGTTCGGAGAAGGTGATGAGGAAGTGGTGGAGGAAGATTCCGGAAGGGGAGGCGGTGGTTGATAGCGTGGTGGACGCGGTGGGGAGCGATGAGAGGGTTGTGAAGGTTTATTTGGAGGGGTTGAAGAGAGGCGGCAGCGGTGGTGGCGGTGGCGGCGGCGGGATTAATGGGGTGGTGGAGATGGAGAAGGCAATGAAGTTGGCAAGAGGTGTTTATGGGAAGGTGATGAAGAAACATGCACTTAGGAGTTTCATTCACTTTGGTGAATAAGTTTTTGGAATAAAAATTGCTAAGTGTTTTTCTTTGTGTTTTTTTGTATTTTTGTTCAAGTCATCTTTGAGCACTCACTACTTAGATTATGTTTCTTATTTATTTTATTCTATTATATTTAAATAATTTTATTTATTTAATATCACTATTTGTATTGTTAAAAATGCATATCACAAAAGTTGTTGGGTAAAATAACAATCTGCGTAGAAACTTACTTATTTGTCGCAGAGTTTCTTCTCGGTAGTCTCCCGAGATACAACAATTGGTTCTTGAATAATTGCAACTAATATCTGACCTACGACGAATTTGAACAAGGAACGGAATTTGAACATATATTATGGAAGAAACTGACCAAATTCTCTCTTGTTTTATAGGCGTGATTAATCTTGGGCCAATTAATTTCAATTATTTAAATTGGGCTAACTTATTTATATATTTGAGTTGGGCCAAATCCTAAAAATAGCAAAGCCCAAAATCAGAAATAATAAGAAGTCAACTTGCAAACACAAGAGCTTAGTGCATGATTTGTATTTCGAGATATGTACAAGTAAAAATAAAGAAAAAAAATACAGGTTATTTTCATGAAGTGTGTCATCACGAAGTCCAACATAATAATCATCTATAGCTAATTACAGTAACTGACGTTGTTCAAAATTAATTATTTTTTTTATCTTATCTTAATAGTTAATACAGCTGATTAGCACTGAGTTATATTAATTATTGGGCCAAATAATTTATATATTAAATTAAATATATTTGGTAGACGTAATCACACTAGCTCCCAAAAAAAGTGGGACCCATTTTTGTCACGGATCATAACCGTTGCCCCTAACCTCATCTTACCGCTCACCTCACTCAAACCTTGTAATATATTATATTTTTATATTATGATCACTATTCAATTTATATTATTTATTTATACCATAATATTGTGTACATTAAAGCATTCTTGATTTAATTATTTGTCATCTATTAAACTATATATGTATTGCGGTGGAGTCACTATAGCGCCAAGGGGGTCATCACCCCCAACATTTCTCAAATTCCTATTATTTTATATATAAACATAAAATCGTGTACAATAGCATTACCAGTCTCCTGGAAACTTTATATATATTATATTATTTATAATTTCATTGTAACCTTACTTTTTATCTTAATTAATATTTGCTAGTTGAAAAGATGCATAGATATTACAAAGTCTTGGCTAATCCAATAACAAAATATCATGCATGAACAATTCTTCCACATAGTTCCAATAGAAAGGGGTCAATAAAGACAAACCCACTAACAACTACGCATGGAAAATAATTGTAATACATTATTAAAAAAGAAAAAAAAAAGGTAATTCGAATATTAAAAAAATAAAAAAATTGGCAAAGAAAAAAAAGAAAAGAAAAAAGAGCCAATAAATTGGCAAAGATTCACAAGGAATATTCTTGATTTATCTTCAACAGCACAATTCGACCACGCCACGTTCTGATAAGATGATACGATGATGCTAATCCTAAAGGATTAAGCTCCCAAAAATGCTGACATTAATTAATTAATTAATTATTAATTAACCATGATTAGTTTATTAAATTAATAATAAAAATATATCAAAACCAGCTGCTCTGTTCCAATAAGAACCCTAGGCCTGAACTTACTAGATAATAACCACAAGTTAATTAATTAAACCCACCTATAATTCTCATATTATTATTAATTTTAGGGTAAATTACACACACCCCCCTAATATCACTTTCTCAAATGCTTATCCTTGTCTATCGCTTCTAGGAATTTAAGGACACGTGTCGATGCTTCAAGTGGGTTCTGATAACCTACTTTTGGAAGATGATTAGTCATAATTACTTTTTGATCTCTCTTTAATGTGAAATAATCTTTTCTCTGCAAGAACTTCCTCCACTAGGAAATTATTTATTTATCTCTAATTAAAAGAAAATAAAGATGACAATAATAGTTAATAGGGAGAGTGAAGCATTTTCGATTTTCGAAAAATATTTTTCAATCTGAATTACAAATTCTGACTCCCAAGTTTTTCGAAATTATTTGGATCGGAATTGGAATATATATGAGATTTTGATTTCCGATCTGATTAAAGTTCCGAAAATAATTTCAAAATTTCCGATATTTTTTTTTCGAATATTACAATGAAAATACCGATATTATTATGTATTTTATATTTAGTGCGAGCCAAAATTGGAAAATTCCGAATTCCACCAATTCCGATCCGCAATTTTTTTGTTTTGGAACAAATTTTTTCGTTCCAATTTCCCAATTCGAATCTTTGTGAAAACGAATTAGAACTAGTTTTTCACTTCTAAAAAAAATTAATTTTTTTTTCTGAAATGACTAATTACAATCTGATCCGTCCGATTTACACCCCCAATTTAATCTTATCCGGCAGGTATGGGTGGCAAGTTCATGTATTTGATCATCCATTACATACTAAAGGTGTGGAACCAATCAAAGTCAAAAAAACAACCCTAGAATATTAATCAATTAATTAACACACCATGATGATGTCATCCCATAAAACGACAAAAAATCCTCAATTATAAAAAGCCCAACCACCAACTAGCAAACATTTCAAACTCTCTCTTCTTTTCTCCATCATTAAATTAATTCACAAAATAAATAAATAAAATGGTATCAAGAAATAGTAATCTTCCACCTGGTTTTAGATTCCATCCTACAGATGAAGAACTAATAATGCACTACCTTCGAAACCAAGCTACGTCGAAACCCTGCCCCGTTTCGATTATACCCGAAGTCGACATCTACAAATTCGATCCGTGGGAGTTGCCCGGTAATTAGTATATATATGTTATATAAACTAATTAAATGTCACAAATGTTTAATATATTGACTTAAATTTGTTTGGTTGGTTTGATTGAGTTCAGAAAAGGCGGAATTCGGAGAAAACGAGTGGTACTTCTTTACGCCGCGAGATAGGAAGTACCCGAACGGGGTCCGCCCTAATAGGGCAGCCGTGTCGGGATATTGGAAAGCCACGGGCACGGATAAAGCGATATACAGTGGATCGAAATACGTCGGCGTGAAGAAAGCACTCGTTTTCTACAAGGGCAAACCACCGAAGGGAATCAAGACCGATTGGATCATGCATGAGTATCGATTGAGCGAATCGCGATCGCAAACCTACAAGCAAAATGGTTCCATGAGGGTATATATATAATATTATATATCATATGTTTTATATATTATGTATACTAAACCCTAATTAGTAGTCTCTAATTATTCTTTGTGTATATTCAGTTGGATGATTGGGTGCTGTGTAGAATATACAAGAAGAAGAATTTGGGGAGAATTAGTAATTATTGTGATGATGACCAACAAAGGGTTGTTGAAGAATCATCATTTGCTCATGAAATAAGTAACGGTGGTGAAATACCGCAAATGCCCTCCATGAAATTATTATTACCGAGAACGTGTTCGCTAACACTTCTACGGGATTTTGGCTACATGGGCTCGATCTCGCAACGACTACTGAACGAGACTTGTAATAGTTCGTACAATGTGCCCTTCAATTACATTCAAGAACCGGTCGGCAACAACAACAATAATGATAATAATCATAATAATAATAATGGGAATTTTTCGTGGGCGATCGACAAGAATATTCACGAGTTAGGACAACAAGTGCAGCAACCTTGTTATACTGATGATGGTGATATCAAGTTTCAAGTGAATCAGACAATCTTTCTGAATAATCCAATGTTTGAATTGCAGTAAATTTATATATGTTACAAGGCTTACCCAATCTAGGGGTATTATTGTAAATTATGCTGTCTTGTTTTGAAATGATTATATAACAATTAGTTAAAGCATATATACTCCATATGTGTATATATATATATATATATATATATATATATATATATATATATATATATATATATATATATATATATATATATATATATATATATGTATATATATATATATATTTTTTGCAATAGTGATTAATTAACTAGGGACAAATTGAAAATGAATATAATGAATATATATTCCTACCTTATCCAAATAAAAAACCAAAGACTGCTGAATTTAATTACAGATAAAGCCAAAAGAAGAAAAAGGAAAGGTTTGAATAAGTTAAAAACCAACTAACGTGCGCCGCCATTTGAAAGAAAAAGACAAAGTACTTTAGGATTTAGGAATCTTAAGTGTGTATAATTAAAGACTTTTGGTCAGAAAAATAATTGCACCACCTGGATTAGTTAGATTCGTCAAAAGGAGGGTGACGTGGATGCATCGTTTTCCATTGGCCAATAATGTAAGTACAAAAGTAAAATAATTTGCCCCATATATATATATATATATATATATATATATATATATATATATATATATATATATAACCCAAATTATTAATTAAATAGTTGTTTTAATAAATGAATAAAGTGAATGATATTAATTAGGTGCATGCATGCAGTCATGTATTATATTACAGGATTACCACCAATATATCTGAATGATATTGACATTTCAAGCTTCCATTTTGGATAAGAACAAACTTATTTAGATTCACATAAGTTGATCAATATTCGTAATTGGAAAGAAAACTTTGGAGAACAAAGATTGATTTCTTTAATTAATCGGTCTTCAAAATAGAGGTGGTCAAATACCTTCACAGTTTTGGTGCAAGATTTAAAAAATTGAGTTCTAACTGTGAAGTGGTTCGAGACAGTCAAACTTTGGTGGTACAAATCAATAAAAAAATCGGGTTTTTTCCCCTTAAAAAAATAAATTGGGTTTTTAATTAAAAATAAGTTTATTCTTTGTTTTATTTATGTTTATTGTTATTTTTAAATGTTGTTATAATATAAAAATGATGGGATATAATCATATTTAAATATTTTTTTTAATATGTTTTAAGTACTTACAAATATGTAAAAATATATTATATTAAATTTCAAAAACTGATTTATATCCGATTATTGCTTATTAATCATCGTCGTGCAATTAATTGTGAGCCGGTGCCTAACCGTCTCGGACCCGATTCCCACTTTTTACAACCTTGCTTTTCTCTTTCAGAGTGTATAACTCTTGATCTCTATAATAATTAACATTATAGAGGTTATTTCTTACTTAAATATGCAATCTTTGAATGAGTGCCAAACATCAAAGATTTGAAGATTAAATTACCTAAAAACCCTTTCAGAGTATAAAAGTTTTCTACATCACTTCAATGAGTTCAATCTAATGGGTCTCATTAAGTTGAAGATCATAAATAAAAAAAAAATAAAGAATAAAAAAGTAATTTCCTTTAATGTAAACATCAACTTAAATTAGGTTGAAAGCAAAAAGAATATGAAGTTGACTTTCTCAACCAAAAATATAATGCATGCATGCCAAGATTGTTGACTAATTTCTTGATCAAGAACTTACCTCCCTCCTAACTTCATTACATTTACATATGTATATATATATCCCACTATTTTATATATTTGTATTGTATTTGCATTATCAAAATAAAATTAAAGAAAAAACAGAAAAAGAGAGAAATTAAAACTAAATAAGGTCATACTAGAATAATATATCATCTTCTGAAAAAAGAAAATGCAAACGATAGCAGTGTTTGTGTGCATGCTATTATCATGGATTTTGATACACAGAATGAATCAGAGGAGAGGGAAAGGGCCGAAAACGTGGCCGTTTTTGGGTGCAGCATTGGAGCAGCTGATAAACTACGATAGAATGCACGATTGGATCCTCAATTACTTGTCGCAGTCGAGAACCGTAGTCGTGCCGATGCCTTTCACGACTTATACTTACATCGCCGATCCTGCTGACGTGGAGCATGTCCTCAAAACCAACTTCTCTAATTATCCCAAGGTTATCAAATTTTATTCATTTTGATATATATCTATATATGCATCGTCCTTTTTTGCGTGCATTTTGATCTATCGATACTATACAGTGTTTTCATGTGTCGAGAGTTGACGGTTATTGGGATCGATCAGTCGAATGCGGGTTGTGAAAGTTTGACAAATCATTCAGGGGTGGAAATTGGACGGAAATTTCGAATTCTGCCAATGTTTGATTTGAAATTAATTTTCCGATTTTAGAACAATCTTTTTTCATTCTGAATCCGATATATTTTCGATTTTTAGGACGGAATTGGAATATATATTAGATTATGATTTGCAATCCGAATTAATTTTTGGATACATATTAATTCGAAAATTCCAATTATTTTCCGAAAATAAACCTTATAATATCAATAGTACTATGTATTTTGCATCATAGGTGATTAAAGAAATGGAATTTCTATATTCCGCCGACTCCGATCCAAAAATTTCCGATTTTGGAACATTATTTTTCATTCTAATTTATGATATTCCAGTTTCCGTTATTTTTAGGAACATCATTAGAACTAGTTTTCCACGTCCGAAAAAAAAAATATAAATCCGAATTTGTTGAATATTCCAATCTGATTCTTCCGATTTTCACCTCCAATTTTCAAGATCTCAATTTTTTGTTTATTTTTGGGATGTTTTATCGTATGAAGGGTGACGTGTATCATTCGTATATGGAAGTATTGCTCGGAGACGGCATATTTAACGTGGACGGTGAGCTATGGAGGAAGCAAAGAAAGACAGCTAGCTTCGAATTCGCTTCGAAAAATTTGAGGGATTTTAGTACTGTTGTTTTCAGAGAGTATAGCCTTAAACTCTCTTCAATTCTCTCTCAAGCCTCTCTCAATAATCACCAACTAGACATGCAGGTACATATTTTCTTTATTTAAATTATTTAATTCTTTTAATTAAATTATTTAATTAAATTGCAATTTAAATTTTTTTTTTGGTTGCAGGAACTTTTGATGAGGATGACTCTAGACTCAATATGTAAAGTGGGATTTGGTGTGGAGATAGGAACATTGGCTCCAAATTTACCGCACAACGAGTTCGCAAACGCGTTCGACACTGCAAACATGACCGTCACGCTTCGATTCATCGATCCCTTTTGGAAATTAAAAAAATTCTTCAATGTGGGGTCAGAAGCTGTTCTTGACCACAACATCAAAACAATCGACGACTTCACTTACTCCGTCATCAGAACAAGAAAATCCGAAATCCAAGAAGTCGACGCAGACGAAAAGGTGAACAATTTAGTACCATTCTCAAATTAATTTGATTTAATTTAACAAGATTATGTCATGTGATTAATACAGATGAAGCATGATATATTGTCGAGATTTATCGAGCTAAGCAAAGACCCCGAGAATAAAATGACCGATAAAAGTCTAAGAGACGTTGTTCTCAACTTTGTGATTGCCGGTCGAGACACAACTGCAACGACGCTTTCTTGGGCCATATATATGGTAATGACGCATGCTGACGTGGCGGATAAGCTCTACTCGGAGCTTCGAAAATTCGAAGAGGAACGCGAGAAGGAAGAGGGTTTTTCTTCGTCGAATAATGATCAAGAATCGTTCGACGAGAGAGTTAGCCGATTTGCAGGGCTTTTGAGCTACGATTCGTTAGGGAAATTGTACTACTTGCATGCTGTGATAACCGAAACCCTTCGATTATACCCTGCTGTACCTCAGGTTTGCTATTAAGCAATGTTAGTGGAAAACAAGGATAAATTACCAAAAAGCCCCTCACGTATTCGTAATTACTAAAAAACCCCTCTAATTAACGTTTTTTTTGGTAATTATGCGTTTTGCATGATGTGATAACCGAAAATCTACGATTTTTTTTTAATTCTCAACTAATTTTTAGTGCATAATAATGACAAGATGTATTCTAATAATATTTGTAGGATCCGAAAGGAATATTGGAGGACGATGTTTTACCAGACGGTACGAGAGTTAAGGCCGGTGGAATGGTGACATACGTACCGTATTCGATGGGAAGAATGAAGTACAATTGGGGCGAAGATGCCGCTTCGTTCAAACCCGAGCGATGGATCAAAGACGGAATATTCCAGAACGCGTCACCGTTTAAATTCACTGCTTTTCAGGTGCATCATTTAATTTTCGAATTAAGAAACCATGCATTTTAGATTTTGTTTGCATTAATTACGACAACATTATAAAAGTCGATGACGTGGCGTGCAGGCGGGGCCCCGGATATGCCTCGGGAAGGACTCTGCATATCTGCAGATGAAAATGGCGCTTGCGATCTTGTGTCGATTCTACGAATTCAATTTGGTGAAAGGGCACAAAGTGAAGTACAGAATGATGACTATTCTTTCCATGGAAAACGGGCTTAAACTTACCATCACGAAACGCACTTAATAAATTAAAATGCCGTACGCAAAGTTAAATGAAAATACATGCACACTATTTTATCGAAATATATATTATACTATTTTGTAATATCATCGATTAATGTTGCCTAGATAATATTAATCCCGACAAAGGGATCAATAAAATCAAGATAAAAACTGCGGCAAAAGAGCCGATTAAAGATCCCGTGATGCGAACGCAGAAAGTTTGGTACTGCTGACAAATAGCAGCCCAATTTGCCGAAGAGTTGCCCTTGTGTGCTATGTATACAATAGCTGCTGCAGCTGAAGCTCCTGCAGTTAGTACAGTTACCATTATCTGCACAAAATTAATATTAATTAGTCTTGGGATAAATGAATTTTAATTTTTTTTCGGATCAATTTATAAATTACCGTGTCCAAGAAAATCAGCAACGCCCGGCTCTTTGCTGACGTGGCCCTGATGATATGATAGATGGCCAACGGTAGAGAAATAATCGCAAGATAACCGCATGCTATTCCATTCGCAATCACAAAGAACCTTTCGTAAAAAGATATTAAAAAAAAAATTATTATTTTTTTTCTTTAATGCAATAAAATGATGGTATGTACGATTATTACAAAATACCGAAAGGTGGGAATATCGTCGTATTGAGCTTGGAATATGACGGATTGCGTCGAGAAAGGAAGTGTTTCGTCTGTCGTCCCCATTGCAACAGCACTTCCTAATGTACCGAATATTGCAAGAATTCTGAGAATGAGGTCTAATATCGAAATTCCTCTGCTAACACTTAATTCTTTGTATTCTTGAATTGGTGGCGGCGGCTCTTCTCGTTTCATTTTTTCGTTTTTCTTTTCTGTGCTTCAGATGTTTGTTTTCACTTTTACTCAGCTGTATGTATGTATGTATCTATATATTAGTAAGTAGAAAAATGAGGCAGCAGCTGCTGAATATTATTATTACTTGTGCAAAAATTAGCATACATAAGCAAGTTTGGAACTTTCTATGTAATAAAATCCAATCCACCAATTGGGGGAAGTAATTGTGGATGTTAGGTTTACAAGTTTTGTAATTATGTACTTTTGCTGCCATCATTGATGATTAAACTACCATATTTACAGGGTTTATAAATTAATTATATAATTAGTTTATGCACTAATTAATTACCCTAGCCAAAAATACACCAACTAAACGACATCAACAAGATCTCCATAAACTCTTACCTGCTCTGTTTCTACACCATATATAAGTTTATAACTCTTGAAGAAAATCATGGCTTTGTGTATATATTTTAAGCAAGCTTTTTTGAATGGACAGGGGGCAATTTCGGCGTGATTAATGACAATTTTGTCGTTTTTAGGTAGCTCGAAACCTGCTCTATTTGAAGTCGATTATAAATTAGTTCAAACGATGACTGTGTCTCGATCTTGTTTCTTCCATTCCAAATCATAAGATCACGAGAAATACAGTATGGCCTGAAGAATAAGCAATTTCGTAGATATGTAAACATGCCAGCCACGGGCAACGAGATTAAATAATTTATCTGCAGCAAAATCCTATACAGTACCAAGTTAAAAACAGAAAATAAAACCAACTTCTGATGTTATAAAACTTAACGAAAGCATAACATTCGAAAAATTATCCACGGTGCAATACGATATCCAGCCAACGAGTTTCATTAAAACACGACAATGAAGGAGGGCAAAACAGAGATTTACTTATCACGTCCCATTCCATTTGGTTCTCTTTTCTTCTAATCTAATTGCTCCATGCATCACCAAATGGGGTGAGAAAAAAAAAACGGTTCGCTTTAGTCATCATCAAGCACCAAAGCTGTTTTAGCATCAAAATGGAAAATAAAACATAATAATTAGTGAAATTAGAGAGTTCAATAACTGTAAAATTGGGATGCAATTGAAGCTACAAATCAAGAACCCCTCAAAGAAAGTACTGTAGAAGTAAAAAGCAGCAGCAAGTGATTGCAAGAAGTAAAAAAGTTGCTTTATACTTTAATGGTTGGATAAATAGAAATACTAAGTTACCGAAAAAGAGAGAGTAATTTCTACCTAGTACCAGAGTAACCAGGTGAATAAACAGCATATGTTCCGTAACCACTTCCACCAACAACCTGAAGCATTTAATGAGGAATAGCATAGTAAACAAATCATATATCAACCAAATATTTATCAACGCAACTTACCAAATAATTAATTCAGTATAATCAAATTAAAATTCAACGAGTACCTGTGAATCATCATAACTCCCATAACTATCAGTTGGAGGCGCAGTATTAGAAGTATAACCACCAGAGTAGGTGGAATATCTCGGGTTACGGGTTCTATTATCACGTTTTCCATATTTTTGCCCATCAAATCCCTCTGCTGTAGCTGGTGAAGGAAAAGCCAATGAATTTCCATCGCTCTCAAATACATTGCCCCTCAACCGCTGCATTACTTGTAATAACGCATTCTTAGCAGCATTAGGGTCTCCCATTACCTAGTCAATATTATATGAATGCCCTTGCTTGTCAGCACTTCAAATGAACCAATACAGAAAGAAAAAATAAATAAATCAACACTAGTTCACCTGGACCATCTCTTCATCTTCAGATGCAACTTTGGGAATATTCTCATCCGAGAAGATACGTATATTTGCCCTCGAAGTATTCCTCATCTCCTTAATGATTGCCCCACCTTTCCCAATGATACATCCAATTCTCGAGCTCGGTACAAGCATTCGAGTTGTGATCACAGTATCACCCGAATCCCTCTCCATTCTATCGCTGCACCGTGGTTGCAATCTCATCACCGCATCAATAGTACGAGAAGGAGCTTCAAACATCTTTTTTTTTTTTTAAAACCGGAAAACAATTTAGTACAAATTTGACCATTGTTACTATAAAAAAGCAGAATTACGCAGTGATATGATGCTCAAATTGCTCACCTCCTTGGAGGAAACGGATATAATACAGTCATCTCCATCAGCACCAGCACTATCAACTTTAACAAACGCACCCGATTCCTGTCTTATTTGTTTGATAACAGCCCCACCTTTGCCAATCACTGCTCCGATATTTTCGGTTCGACAAACTAACCGAACTGCAAACTCAACCGTAATAGAAGACCAGTCTCTGCTTTTGTGGCTCCCATATTGGCCCATTAATGAGGCCACACCCACGGGTGGGCCCCCACCACCTCCAGCGTGTGGATTACTAAATGCAATTCCGGATCGATAAATGCTCGGCGAACTCAATATTGACTGCTGTGACCGTGAGGGGTTTTCGTGGAGACGAAATGCCACCTGGTGAAGTGCTTCCTTCACTGTAGTAGCTTCCCCATTTATCTGAATATTATAAAATTAGTAAATAAGTGTTTTTTTAAGGTAAATGCACAGAGATTAAGAAACCTAATAAATAGCCTCATTTTTTTATGGAAAAGCTCCAAATTGCCCTTTACAAAAACTATTAAATGAGCTTTTAATATCTAAAACTCGCCAAGCTTATCTCCGTTAATAGGAGTCTTCCGCCAAAGCTTCAGTCAACCGGTGCATAACAAAACAAGATTTCAACCACTAAAAGTAACTAGCGGAATATAATTGGAATTTTTCCATTACAACTTTCGAAATGGAAATTTAAATTAACCACTGAAAACAAGACTAAGATTTTCAATTACTCACAAAAAGACAAGATTGAAAATCGAAGTCTCTTACAACTTTCTTGTTTGAATGTACTTCTTTGCAAAGGTTTGAGGTCTAAGTTCATTGGGTTGTCAACTTTTTGCTCACCACCATGAAATTTTCAATCTTCATGTTTTTTGTTCGTAGTACAAGGTGAACGCTATTTATTCTTTGGACTCTTGAACTTTTCATTAATCTCATTATTTTAACACTAAGTGCTCTTTCTTGAAGACAAATTAATTGTACAAATTAATGAGCTCAAAAAATCAAAGATAAATGGCAAAATTGGTAAAAGAAAATATTTATTCGCCTTGAAATTCTAAAGTGACTCTTACATGGGAAAAAATAATATTGCCAAAATGACACTTGTTTTTTTAAACGGATGGAATAATAGTTACCAAATAATCTAATTCAGACAATGACTATAATCGCCTCTCATAACACCAAACAAACCATTCCAAGATATCGGGACAGTTAGAAACCATATATACTGTGTCGAGTTAATGCAACTAATTACTAAATGAGTGTGATATATGTAATAATATCAGTGCATAAATTATAAATACACAATACATAGTAATAAAAAAACAGAATCTGAAATGCTTAAAGCACCTGGATAAGCTCATCGGAACTGAGAGCACAAGGCGGCAAATGCTCACTGCCCAATATTCTGATCTGAGCATGAGTATCACTACGTATATTCTGAATAATCTGCCCACCTTTACCAATAACACATCCAATCTGATCTGAAGGCACAAGCAACCGCACAGTGACTTGCAGAGGCTGTTCCTCAAACGAACCACCATTCACGCTCGATTCATCAGCCACCACTCTATCATGCACACTAAAGAGTGCATCCTGTGCAGGGGAGACAAATTCCTCTTCATAACTGTTGGTTTCCTCACTCCCACTGTAAATTGTGATGACACGTTCGTCACACCCTGGGATAGTTTCGCTAATCCTAATCCTTGCGTTAGTCTGGGCCCGCAGCTGCTTAGCAATATCGCCGCCGATACCGATAATGCTTCCGATTTTTCTCAAAGGGCACAAGTATCGGTAGATTGTGTGGTCCGGTCCGATTGAGTTTTGTTCCTTTTCGTCACCTGTGTTTCTTCTTTTCTCTCCTTCGTTTCCGGGATATTCCGATGGTTCGCTTCGCTGGCCCATTTTTGTTGGGGTTTTGTTGACCTAACTACAACAAATAAAATCTGTAGAAGCTTTATACAAGGTGATAAAAAATGCAGATTTTTTTTCTTTAAAAGATCTTTCTACTTCAACATGAATTGAACCACCACAAAAACATACACCATAGAATTTAAAAAAAATATCATCACCATCGTGTATAAAAGGAACCAATCCGCACAGGCAGGAGTGCACAAACTAAAAAAATATTTCCTATTAAAACTAAAAAAATCCTAATTCCGACACAAAATCATGAGAACGATTGAATAATTGGAAAAATCTAGCCGAAAAATTGAAATTTTATGCCAACATACGTCAGTTCCAAATTCAATATCCGAAGCAATGAAACGTAAATAAATCTAACAGATTGATATAAAAGATAACCATAAGGAATGCAAAAGTGAGAATTTACAGTCGAGATTTATCGATGAATGCTCTTACTTGGGGATTGAGAGAGAGAGAAAGGAGGAAGGATTCAGCGTTCAATTTTTTTCGGAAGCGCAAATGTTAAACTGTGTTCTACTGTGTGTGTGTGTGTTTGCTGTGCGCATAACCGCTTCTGAAAAATGTAAGGGCAGATTAGAAATATTCAAAAACATATCCAGTCAATAGGTTGGTTAATGTAATTTTTAGGGTAAACCAAAATATGAAGAAAAATTTAGGGCTGCCTGAAATTACCAAAATACCCAATTCTATATTATCTGATTGATTTTCATAATTATTATAAATTAAATAAAAATAATAAATAATAAATAAATTATTTAACAAAAAAAAAAAAAAAAAAAAAACAGAACAAACAGTAACCTTCAGGAATGTCACTTCGCTCACCCAATCTGTACTCATGGTTCTCCTCAAATCCAACCACCACAAAACCACCAATGCTTGCTGTAAGCGGCGGCGCAATCTCCTCCGTAGCTTGTAGTGCTGCCAGAAAATCAAATAAGAGCGTCCACGATTTGCCGGCGAACACCGCCGGCACCGGAATACGATGCTGCCCTTGTTGCTTTCCCAGAAGACATTGTCTCGGAGCAGTAATAGCAACGTGCTTATCGCCGCCGATTCTCCCTTCATCCGCCTCTGATGGAGATTCCACTTCTCAATCCCCTATTGTATGATTTCTGATCGGTTTGGCGATTTTTTTTAAATTAACCTATTTTCAGTTCAATCAATCTCGGGGTTAAATTTAGGCAGAATTAACCTAGTTTGGTGAACATAATTCGTGCAACAAGTCTACAATTGTAAATTAGGGTTCATCGTCTGTACTAATTTAATTATTCACTTCATTTTTTGGAATTCATTTTTTAGAAGAAAAAGTTAAATGATTGATGTTACTGTTGATTTCGATTCAGGCAATGTTGAATAGAATTCATCCTCCGAGGCCAGATTGGTATGAGGAGTTTTATGCGTCAGCTATGGACAAAACAATGAAACCTTACGAAGCAGAGGTGAGGTTGTTCATCTGCGTAAAATTCGCCTGTTAAATATTCTGAATACGTAAAAGCTGAAATTCATTTAAAAATTCGTGTTTATTCGTGGTAAGATTGCAGGTTACAAGTCGCTGCTTTTTGCTAATTTGATAGGAAAGGGCGACAAAATATTGGAAATTGGCATCGGGACAGGTCCTAATCTTAAATACTATGCGGATTATCCAGGTGTCGAAGTTTTTGGAGTTGATCCGAATAGGAAGATGGAGAAATACGCAGTGGCAGCAGCAGAGGCTGCAGGACTCCCACTGTCAAATTTCCGGTTTGAACAAGCAGTATGTATCTTATTCGATATGCCATAAATTCGTTATTACCCTCTTAATTTATGTTTTATATGTTGAAAATTGATGATGATATATGCAAAAATCCTGCCTGTAAGTCCTTTTTTCTTACTTTTATTTTACTAGTTCTATTTGTGACGTCTTTGTTGAGTACTCGGTGCTGTTTCAAGAATTACTAAATCTTGAAGCATTTTTTTCTTGCACGCTTCTTCTCAAACTTCCAGTTCAAAATAAAAATGGATTGTGCTTGCTGTGTACGTTTGGCACTAATTAAAAATGGATCGAGTTGCAATCGGGCAACAAACTCGTCCATTGTAGTGACGGAAATGACACACCATTCAAAAGTTATTGATCTATAGTATGGAACACGATTATTAAGAAAATCTTAGGGGTGCGTTTGGTGTGAAGGATTTAAAAATTATATCAGATGAGAAAGTTTTGAAATGACTATAAGTGGTTAGTTAGGATTTGAAATCCACCACAATTGCTCAAAAATTAACTTCAAATGAGAGGTATGGATTTGAAATTCATTGTCCAATGACTCAATCCAAACATGCTCAATTGATTTGTTATTGTGGACCTTCTCTCAATTCCTCCCATTTAAATGCAACCGTAAATGATATTTGTCTCGATTTTTGTGCAGGTTGCAGAGGCTTTGCCATTAAATGACGCTTCTGTTGATGTTGTTGTTGGAACACTCGTCCTATGTTCTGTAGAAGATGTCGATCAGGCATTGCAAGGTGAACGAATGCATGAACTATCAAAATTGGTTGAATGAGGCTAAACTGCTATTTTTTTTTCTTGTAGATAGAAAAAACTATATAAAAACAAGAAATCATCTACATGCAACTAAAGCTCGATTTGATACTGAATTTATCGTGCAGAAGTGAAAAGGGTGCTTAAGCCCGGGGGGTTATACATATTTGTGGAACATGTAGCAGCAAAAGGTAACGAATATCAATTAAGATCTAATAATCTTAAAAGTTTCACATTTTTAATCACCTATATGATATATCCAGTTTCTGAGTTAATAAATATATAACAAAATTTAAGGTTTGATTTCTCTTTTGTTATTTGCAGATGGAACAATTCTTAGAATCTTACAGGGGATTCTTGATCCATTACAGCAAACTTTAGCTGACAGGTGTCATCTGACCAGAAACACAGCAACTAATATTGCCGGAGCAGGTTTCGCAGGTGTTGATGTTAATCATGCTAATTTATCGACCGCCTCGCTCATAAATCCACACGTCTATGGTATAGCTTACAAATAGATTAAAAATGCATGATTAAATTGTATAGCATGGAACAAATCCATATTTTATAGAGATTCCTTAAAAAAATTATGTAAAACAAATAGAATGTTTATTATCTGTCATGCCGACATTTTCACCTACTGATTAAATGATTGAAGATAAAGCAGCTAAGATTGTCGATCATATATATATATATATATATATATATATATATATATATATATATATATATATATATATATATATATATAATGAACATTAATAATACATTTTATCTTAGGGGAAATTATACATTTCCATTTATTTATTTTCATTTTTAGTCTAAATGATTGCTTGAAGACAATAATTTAAAAAAATTGATTGTTCACGTTAGTAGCATTTTATATTTTATAGTGCTGTATGAAAAGAAACTCTGGTTATGGGTGAACTTGGAACGGAATTTTTAAATTCCGGTGATTTTGATCCCAAATTTTTTTTTCTGGACCAATATTATTTGAATTCCGAAATTTCTATTTTAATTAGTTTTGGATTTAAATTGAATTATATACTTAAATAGGATTTCAATTTTTTGTTGCAATTTTAATTTCCGAAAAAAAAATTATATTTATAACATCAATATTTCTACGTGTTTTATAAAACATTGAATTTCCGAATTCCGCCCGTTCTTATAAGAAAATCTCCGATTTCCCCTTTTTTTTCTGAAGTTTTTTAGGGATAGAATTGGAGGAGCCAAAAGAATAAGAATTTATACAAAGTAATTTTCTTTGTACAAAAAATAAATACTTTATCTAGTTTTATATTTAAATAATAAAGGATCAAATAAAAGAACAAAACACAAAAAGAAAGGAACAAAAAGGGAATCGGTGCCATAAATTATATATTTTGTTTTTATATGTCAAAAATATTATGAAACTATTTTCCACAGCCCCATCGATTGTACTAAAAACCTATTTAAAAAAAAAGAATTAAAAAAACGAAAAAAGAAGAGCAGGTGGTTCAGGATGTAAATTAAGACTGTGGGGTGTAAAAACAAATAAATAACTAAATAATGGGGCAAGAGTGCAAAAAGACAAACTCGCGCTTCTCTCCGTCAAATTAGGGTTCTTATATTACCCCTCTGAAACGCAGACTCATCTTCATTCACTCTCTTCAGCTCAGTCTCTCAACGATTGTAAGCTTTCTTTCTCTCTCTACCTTTATATCTGTGTATGTATTTATCTATGTGTGTGCGCGCGTGCGTGTATGTATGTTTCCTCTTATACCTAATTGTCGAGTTTCGTTTCGTTTCATTGAGCTGGGTGCATTTCATTCTCTTACCCATTTCCTCTGCCAGTAATTTTTTTTTCTCTATTTTTTTGGGGGTGGTTGGTTGGTTGGGAGGGGAATATGTTTTCTTAGTTTTATAAGAAAGTTCAGTGGGGGACTATGCTTCAATTATGACCTGCAATTATTGGAAATTATTAACTGCCTTCTGTTTAAATTTCATGAAAGGCCATTATTGTTGTTGACTTTTGTAAAAGATTGGATTTTTTTTTCCCTTCATCTGAATTAATTGCCTTGTTTGATATGTAGCTCTCAAGTTGCTTTTATCTTTTCAGCAATTCTTTTTAATGAAATTATTATATGTTGTATTCTAAGGTAGAAATTGCAGATGTTTAGAACGACGAGTGATGAAGTTTAAGATAATTTCTACAGGGGTGAACTTAATTATATTCAAGTAGAGATGAATTTTGTCATTTATGTGTTCGTGTGCCTGTAATATTAGCAGTGTTTGAATTAATTTTGAATTTGTTCTTCTTAGGTCTCAATCGTCCGGGTTTTTAGCACTTAAACAACTCTCAGTCTGGGAAGGATATCCGATCGTTGTGATGGTGATTAATGGCTATTGTTATTCCGGTGAAACAAGATGATGCTTCTGCTTTGTGTCGCGTTTGTTGTTGCGTTAAAGCAGGAATAGTGCAGCTTATCTCGATCGAACCTTTTCTTCTGTTGTGGGGCCATACTGAAGATAGATTTTCAAGGCCCGTTTCCAATTGATCATACTTGGTGATAAAAGTTTATTTATTTTGAAAAGACTGACGTTCAGAAGTGATTGGATTAATATTTTCTTGTTCTGTGGTGCGATAAAGATTTGTGGTGTATTCTGAAAGATAGCTAAAACGGGGTCCCTTTGTTGTGTGGCTGCAAGGCCACATGGATCAAATGCCGCCAGCAGGGACTGGTCTGTGGGGCCACACGAGCCGTACTGGAGAACCAACACGAGCTTTTCTCCTCCACCAGCAAGATGGGACTTTCAACTCCAACCCGAAACAGTGTCGTTTGGTTCCCAAGATGGGATTCAATTGTACGGCTCTTCTGCATCGTCTAATAGTCGAGAAAGTAGAAGTTGGGTGAGAGGAAACAATCTTACTAATCATCAATTTCTGACATCTGATGGCATTGGTCCGTATTTAAGCAGCCCAGCTGATATATCTCCTGCCCAGCAGTGGACTCCCCCCGCAATACAAGAAATTAGCACCGATGATTATGGTACTTCAGGGAGAGGTATAAATAAAATTATTTATCCTTTTAATTTCAATTTTTTGCCCTTTGTGGAGAAATTAACATCTTCAGATAAGTCTCTTATCTACTCTTCTCCCTGCATTTTGAGTTTGTGAACATGTGCTTTCTACTGTAGAAAAGTATGATTTGATTTGATACTTGTTTGTTCGGGGTGTGTGTTTGCAGTTTGTTCGTTCTTTACTGCTTCATATTGTTTGTACTATAAATGGCCTCTTTGTTTGACAATATTAACCTTACTCTAGTTGTTTTAGATCAATCGTGATGTCATGTGTATCTTGTAACTTCATTATAAGTTCATCTCGACACCACCTGATTTATCGTCCCTCTTCATTCTCAAAAGAAATAATCAAATGTACCGCAAGTAATTGTTTCTATGCTACCATAGTATTCGGGCTTGTGCAAGTAATTGTTTCTATGCTCCAATGGTGAAAGGGCATTCGGAAGGAAATTCTGCCCATCTCGTCAAAACTTTTGAATCCCACCTCGTCAAAATTGGTGAAAGGGCATTCGGAAGGAAATTCTGCCCATCTTTCTCTTATTTATGTATGTTTATGTTGTTCGTAATTTTATTCATACTGCTGTTTGTTATTTACCCTTTGAGTGGTGGTAAATAATATATCAATTCAAAGAGCTTAAGCACTGAATGACGCGTTAAATTGGATGGAAGGGGACCTCTTCCATTCAAATAGTATATCATCTCTCTTGGATTTACCTTACTTTTCTTTTCCTCTCCAGATGTATTTATGAGGCCATTATCCTTTTCACCAGCAATGGAGGTATGTTTACGGTCTTTTATCTACACATTGTGAAAGTATTTCACTCTGCTCAACTGTGTGACTTCTTTATTATTTAAAAAAAAAACCTTTAATAGGGAACATCGGCAGTTAGAGACAGTGGAGGCTCAACATCATCCCGTTCAGACAGCAGCTGCGATTACGAACCCACAACCAAACCACACTCCTCTCACCGCAACCGCCGCTGCTTCATGTCCAAAGCAATCCACCCTCTGTCATTTCCATCACAACCACCGCTGGAATATTCCACCGCCGCCACACCACAAAGAGAGAACAGGCATCATCTGAGCAGCGCCAGCGGCGGCAGCACCGATCTCACTGAATTACCCGAGGAGACATTCGAACACGCGGATTGTTTCAGATGCGGCCTGTGCGAAAGGAATCTTTCGCAAAGGTCCCCTTGGAGCTCCCGTCGGATTGTGAAAACCGGCGACATGCCGGTCGCCGGAGTCCTTTCCTGCCGCCACGTGTTCCACGCGGAGTGCTTGGATCAAACTACCCCCAAGTCAAGAAAAAACGACCCTCAATGCCCGATCTGCGTTAAAATCGAAGAGGAGAATTCATCTCCACTGTTTTCCAAGATGAGGAGTAGTTTCCCTCGGCTTAAACCCTTTTCTGATGACGTGGCGCCTCCGTCGAAATCTTGGGGGTGCGTACAGGCAGGCGACGTGGCGCCTGCTGCTAGGAACACACTGCTGTCACTTAACAGGAGCAGGTTCAGAAAGAGTCTTTCTTTGAAGGGTCAACGAGGCAGGGAATTTGCAGGGAAGTTTTGGAGAAGCGGGCCCTTTTCACCACAGCTGTGTGTGGGACCCACCGTTGAGCATAGCGGTGCTGGTTCTTCTAAAACTACAGGTGGGTCGGGTTTGAAGTGATGCGCGCGAGTTTCTGTATAGGCGCTGCTTGGAGATTGTATTGTTATTGATTATGGTTGTAAACTTTGTTGTTTGTAGTGTATTTTGTGTTTAGGCATAATTTGTGAGGGAGGTATGTTGTTTTCGAGCATATGTACTTTTGTATCGAAAAATGCATTTAAACCGAAAAACGAGGTCGAATCTTGCTCAATGGCTCTGCTTGCTATTTCTGATTAAAGAGGACTTGGATTGCATGATATATCATGTAGTTGAATTGCATGCCAGAGCGATGACATATAAATTAGTTTCATTCAAAATTTATTAATTATATAATTAAAATTCATAACTTCAAATCCTTGGATTCAAATGCAATCTTAACATTTCACTTTACAGCAATGGAATTCAAGTAAATCACTAATCTTCAAAAGGAAAAAAAGAAAAAACAGAAATATATAAACGAATTCAAATCAAAAGAGAGATCAAATCTAAATATGGGCCAGCTTATTTCCATTGTTCATGAGGGCCCAACAATTACTACTTTTATTTAAAAAAGCCCATTACCCGTTTAGTACACTTGTTTCTTTTCATTGATATTCACCTCTCCTTTTACTTTTCTTTTTTTTTTTTTTTTTTTTTTTCTTTTTAATTTTGGATAAGGGAGTCATTAGTATACATCCTCATCCAAGTTTTAATTCCTATATATATTTGTTCAAAAAATAGAAGGGGACCATCAAAATATTGCATAAAATTCAAGTGTTGGTGTTTTTATAGAGTGAGGACAATTGCACTCTTAATTGAGAAAAAAAATGACAAAATCGGATCTTTTCCGTGTGCCTAATTATTTATTTATTTATTATTTTTTTTTTAATGAAGTAATATGCACCCAACCGTATAGGTGCATTGGGTAAACATACACTCTCGTATAATAGCTTACAAAGTATAAGAGAAACATAAACCACACTAATCTAACCATGTGTGACAAGCTCGATTTAGCGACCGTTTGTAAGGAAATTCCAACCCGAGTCAATTAACAAGATTCAGTTGCTCCAACAATTAGGCCATCTCGTTCGGGTTTTTTTTTTTTTTTTCTTCTATTTACGTAGACAACAATTAATTAATGTTGTTCTTTACTATCTATGTTAAATGCTTTTTGTCATATTCCTACAATTTGCTTCTTCTACCTATCAATCAATCAAAATAAGGTATTTGCTTGGCCATATGATTATTATTATTCCTTTATATATGCCTATAGAAGAAGATAACTTTAGGGTGGTGATAGTCTTGTTGTAGCATTTTTCTTTTTCTTTTTTTTTTCTTTTTTCTAAATTTATGGGATTTTTATAGTAAAATATACAAATATATATAAAGAAGACTTTTTTTTTTTTTTTTGGTGTGTGTGGTCTATCATCTATGTGAGGGCTTAGCCAGTTTCTTTTATCTGCTTTTGCACTTCATGTTCACACATACATTATATTCAAATCCTCTATTTCATTTTATATTTAATTTATAGTTACATAATATATACAGAACATAATCCTGTTAATTATTTAATTAAAAAACTTATAAATTCTTCATATAGGTACACAAACATGCATGCATCATGCTGCATAGTGTTCCAATGTAAAAGCAATTATCTACATTGTATCTTTTAAGGTCAATTGTAGTACCCCTCCATTCATATATATGAGTTGTCTGAATATTCTTACTTACTTTGTCGAAACACTGCACTCTTTCTAGCTACTTGACCACTTTCTTAAAAGTAAATGGCCCTATTAATTAATTGCTTTTTTTTTTTCAAAATTAGTATTATTGCTATCTACCTCATGTATATGTCATTCTTGCCTATGCAAGCATGTGTGTGTGTGTGTGTGTGGTGTGTAAGGCTCAACAAGTATGTTAGGCTCAATGAAATCTATAAAATGATCGAATAGAAGCCATAAGTTTGATTCCAGCTCGATCCATGTATTTCATGTAAACAGGGTCCAAACGAAATTCATACATTGAAAGAATGGTAAAAAGTTCCGCATAGTGCACAATAACCGAGTCCATTCTAGATCAACTCTCCAACTCGAGGGACTATCTAAATTAAATCATCTCAATTCCATAAAGAAGCTTGAAAACCAAACCACAAATTAAGAAATTTCAGAAATCTATGCTTTAGATTTTTCATAGATATATACACTATAGTGTCTTTTTGCACTAAATTTGGGCATTAAGTCACAAGCCATGTGCTGCTTTTGGCATTTTCAGCTTCTTTCAATGACTAATTTGAGTTGTTGTCACATTTAACTAGAGTAGCTATGTTGCCAAATTTAGGCCAGTTGTTACCCACACTTCGAACTAACCGAACCCCATTATTGTTCGTTTCGAGACTTAGGCTTTGTTTGAAAAAACTGAAGTTGTGGTGATTATGAGATAAGTTAATAATAAGCTTTGTTCATTATATTCATAAAAGTTGATGATGTTTGTAAATTCCATGAAAAATCAATATCCAACAACTTATTTTAAGATAGTTTGGTCCAGAGATGTTTTTTTAATTTTAACTTAAAACAGCTTATTTTAAGAGAAGTAGAACCAAAAAAACCGACATTGCAAACACTTCAAAAGTAAAAGTTCAGAATCACTTTTTAAAAAACTTTTACAAACGTAACGTTATCCAATCTTTGCCAGCTCTCATCCATCATCTTTTTTCTGTAATTATTTAGATCTCCTTATTCTTATAATAGATGTGACCTCATGACTGCAACAAACACATAACAAAACATACATCATATCGCATGATTTTTAGTTCATGCACATGCCATGTTATTAAATATTTTCTCACTAGTTTCAAAACCATTATCATTCCACAAGTTACATCCGGGGCATATAAGAAAAAAATTCAGTATGCAATTATCATCTACAAAAATTGTTAAAAACGCCATTAGAAGTTACAAAGAGACATAAAATTTAAGATATTTTTAAGTGTACGCAATTCTTAATCTTATTTAAAAGGGGTGTTGGATTTTTTAATTTTTTTTTTTTTTGTGGATGTGTTTCTAATTTTTAATTATTAACAAAAATGTCCTTACCCTTTTAACTATTTATGACAACGACCAAAAAACGTTTCCAACATATGTCACGGTCCTCATGGCGGTTTCCAAAACCTTCCTGAAATGTAGAAACGCATACGTATAGAAGTTTCCAGGCATCATAGTATGATTTGGCCGGACTAGTAGAAGAGTGGAAAGCTTGTAATAAAATCAAAATAATACATAACTAATAAACATTTTATTTATAGTTGATAATTGTGAATTATTCTTTGACAAACTCTTTGACGAGGCCTCTTAACTTAGGCTTTGATATAAAATTTAAAACTATCTTTTGATAATTTCAAATGTTTAATAAAATTAATTATTAAATAAAAGGATTAATGAAAGCGTGCACCCATACACATTCGCATGAAAATCCCAATATAAGTAGTCCTGGGCTAAAATGGTCATTTCCAACAGAAAACGATTGTTCATAAAATTATGGCAGACAAAGATAAATTCTGCACTTTCATAATTTGATCTTTGTCGTTTAAAAAGCTTGTTTAGGATTATTATCATTAATTTTTATTTTGGGTGGATTTAATTAGATTTCTTTGGCTTTCCTTAAGTTTAATATTCAGTAGAAACTAATATACCTAAGCTCAAAAAATTAAATAATAGTATTAATATAACTAGCAATATATGTACAAAATAATGTTAATTTACACGATTTTTTTTTTAAATAATAGGGCTTTGAGAAATACTACGCGATTACAGTTTTCCCTGACTCTATGCTGACTCAGCCACTGATTTCAACCGTTTTTTACCTAAATGATTATAGTACTTGTAATCAAATAATAATTATCAGATTACGGATGCCACTAATCTTTTCGTATCATTCATTCATTAATCAACGAAAACTAAAATGCTGCAATAATCAAGAAATGATCAACGGAAAAGTGTTTTATTAGTGTCGGTGAATGAGGGCGTGCGTTATTAACCATAATTAAAAGTAAAATTGTCCTTAATCAATGGATAATTAAGTAAGCATTTCAAATAATCTTACACACTTTAATCTTTGCCTCGTGCTGGAAAAAAATGTGTGCACTGAATTAGGAACTAGAAAATGTACAGTTAAACCTTTATAAATAAATATATTCACGGGACAAACAAAATTTTATTAATTTTGGGAAAAAATTAAATTGTAGAACTTATAATTTATTACATATATACCGATAAATGTAAATAAAAGCTAATTATACCTAGATATTATTAGTAAATCAAACTCAATATTTTTTTAGTGATGACATTTTTCGCTGCAGCCTGCAGCATTAAAATCATGTTTGGAGAAAAAATAAACTTATAAAATTATTATAAGAATTATTTTTTAAAAGCTTAACAAACACGAATTCGTTTCAAAAAATAATAAAATGAAATGGAAATGAAGTCAAACATTGACTCGGTATTTAAACTAGGACTTTTAAATGTTTTTTTTTTTGAAATATTACTTATTGAACAATAAAAAGGAATAAAGGATTTTAAATTTATTATTAAATCAAATTGTTAAGTTACAGCACTTTAAACTTCCATTGATCGCGGCGCAAGCACGGGGCACCACCCACCCCTCTTCTCAGGCCCACGTTTCGCTCGGACAATTGTTTGTGCGTCTTGTCCCAATAGTTTAATGTAGGATAAATTGCACTTTCCCCCTTGTACTTTAACTCGATATCACTTTATCTCATCTACTCTCAATTTTATCGATTTGACCTTCTTGTATTAGAAAAATTGTCTCAATGTTGCCCTCGTCGTTAGTTTTTAGATATTTGACCTTAACACCGTTTGATTAAGTGAGTAAATTACAAAAAGAAAAACCACTCATATCAGTTTAAATAATTATTAAAAAAAATTAAAAATAAATTGTGGCTGTTGTCGAGAACTATGCTTTCTTGTTGTCTTGATTTTTTATTGTTTTTTTTTTTGTTTTTTTTTTATTTCTTTTTTGTTTTTTAATAATTACTTAAACTGGGAGGAGTGGTGTTTTTGTAATTTCAGAGCTTAGACCAAACGTTATTAATGTTAAATGTCAGACAACTAACAACAATGGTCACATTGAAATAATTTTTCAAGTACAAGGGGACAAATTAATGCAATCAAAAGTAGAAGGGGTAGAGTGATATCGAGCCAAAGTACGGGATAAATAGAATTTACCCTTAAATGTATTTATATATTTTATATATAAAATTAA